CAGTCCATGTCCGCGAATCCTCTACACCAAACTCAACATCTTTCCACTTTAGAGCCCAGATTATGAACAAACACTCAAAGACGTTAGAGTTAAAGACATCTCCATTTTGAACCGACTGGAAAATCCTACTTCCCATGCACTGATAGGGCAACCTAAGATTTTCGCGTATGACCTAGAAATATCTTATCGTTTGCCAGCAACGACTAACGCCTTCTGCTCTATTATATAGAGCCTATCACAAACTCCTGATTGTCCGAGCTCAGGTCGCCCTCAAAAGTGTTGAAAAATTTTCTGCCAAGGTCAGTAACGTGGTTGCAAGGGCTGCCATGGTAAAACGGATGCAAGGTTTAAAGAGGTTCCTCGCCCACCACCAAAATTGGACGCCAGAAGAAGCTCTAGACTTCGCCATTTCGAGAGAGAAACCACTACCATCGGCAAGTGTTAAAAGCTGCTGACCATTTTCTTTGATGAGAAGCTTCTTTTAGTGTTGTGCAGAAAGCTACATTTCGGCTTCTAAAAATACGCTTCCTTTTACGCCATAGTTCTCCAGACTACCACCATATGGTCAGATGTCTGGGTCAGTCGATGAGCCTATCAACGTAATCACCTCAACTCCCGACATAATCAACGAATTGATTCGTTTGTCGACCGAAAACAAAGAGGCAAGTCAACGCAAGTTGACTCGGCTACGATTTACGCTCAAGTTTTGTCGTCTTGTCTTCTTATTCTCCTAGAGACTACAAAGATTGCCCATGATTCCGATTCAAAAAGTGCTATCGATGGCTGTACGTCGTTGATTTCTGAGACGTCAGGTCTTCGCGGCTGAATTTTCTGTTTCTAGAGGGATGATCTTTTGTACCAAGCACAGAAAGTCCAAACTGTTGCCCTGGATTTTACAAAGTTGTTTGGAAACCCAAAGGCACTTTCGGAAGAAGAGAGACGACTCACTAGGTAAAGTGCTGGGACTATTCTGCTGCTACTTTGTGTTCCTTTCCAACAAACTCACTTGTGCCTGTTTGCGTTTTAGAGAATACCATCGGCTTGTTCTGTCTCGCCACGCAATCACTCACACCTTACTTGACACTGCCTTAAAGTCTGACCATGACGCTACCACTGGAAGATCTCTGGCTCAACGGAAAACGGCTGTTCGCAACTTGATGATCTATCATTCCAAGTTATATGAAGATGCCTTGAACATTCGTCAGAAGGCTATAATGCAGCCTCAGCACAATACTGTGGTAGAACAGAGTCAGTCATCTAGGTCAAAATCTATCACTGGGGATGGCCAGGCCTTAGGTACTGGGCATCAAGCTGTCAGAAAGCTGGACTTTAACGTACCAGGCCCCTCCAAGCCTTCAAACTATGGAATTCCAGATGCTATAATCAATACAGTCTTAGAAACTCAAAATCCATATACCCAGCTTGCGAATCCCCAGATACCCAACTATGCACCTGAACAAAATACCTTAGGAAAACAGAAACAGCTCTATACAATCGCAGAGGACTATATACCAGAGCAACCTGAAACCCTGAATCCATCAGATTTCTCATTCTCGAGCAAGGCTGAAATTGCTAAGCTCAATGAAATGCACGATAATGCCGATAATCCATTGTATCAAGGGCTCACCCTGGACATCAGCACAAAGAGTCAGTCAGGAGATTTCTCATTCACGCCATATAGTGTAAATTTCCATCAGCCTGAAACTCACCCAGGACAAGACTTTGCTGCTAAGGCTGAATCTCGCGGTGACATGTATCATGGAAAGCTCGACCATTCATCGTCTTTTGTATCTCGTGACTCGAGTATTGAGGACTCAATGCATGACAGCAGGATTGGAGTGGATATTTTTGTAGGTCTAGATAGTGGTAATCCAGAAAGGGACAGGGTGCTATATGAGGATAATGTAGGGTCAAAGAGAGCACGTCTGTCTGACAATTTTGGTCAAGGAGATTTGGGCGGTGCTTGGTAAACCATTTAGGACAAGTACATAGAGCCAAAAGATTCCTTTGTATATGCAGTGTCAAGTCCAATATATTTCATCTCTTCATTTATTTTATGTTTGGGCTGTCTTTGAGTTCTGTTCCTACTTTTTTATAAGGAGAACGTCGCTCCGCAAAAAGGAAACATATTTGCACCACAGTGAGGGTCTCCCTATATGTACTGGATTACGAATCACTTTATCTCGAAGTTTGAAAATCACTTTTTAATATTTTGCTACGCCATACAACGGGGCAAACAAATCATCGAGCAAGGAGTCACCAGTGAGAACATCAATGTCCTGAGTGCCTGGAGGCGGTGGAGCTCCCGAATCGTGCACCTCAATATTGGTATTACCAGTAGATTCTACTGCTTGCGGCAGCGATGTGCGCGTTTGATCACAGTTATTGGATGTAACAGGCCACACAGACCCTGGCACAGCAATACCTACAAGAGAGTATGATTTGTTTGTATTTGTTTGAATCACAGGTTTGCGAATAGTTGCAGAAAGCCAAGGGTATCCAGATGCGAGTACAAGCCAGTTTGCACGAGAATGCCTACAACAAGACTCAAACCCCTTTCGGCCGTGGATGACACACGATACATACGCACAAGGATCTCTTGTGCATTTCGTAAATAGACTAGAGCACTCCTGTCACGAGTCAGAGGATCAGCTACAAGAAACCCAACAGCAGTCAACACAACACCTAAACCAAGAAAGGGATTTTGTTAGTCCCGCAATCTTTTGGTGGAGACGCTACCAATCTCCGTGAACTTATATGATAGCATGTGAAAGACTGGGGATCATACTCTTGCTGGTTCAAATTTGATATGACGTCTTTGATATACCGTCTAAAAGTGCCTCTGAGCTAGCACGAGTAGCAGCATCGAATCGAGCAATTGAGGAACGCTCATCAAAGATGCAAAGCTGATTAAAAGCTTCGACGAGTCAACCTCAGTAGAACGAATTGAACAATCAGACATAGACATTACATGACATACACAATGGTATGTTGCGACCAGACCGATTTCAGTGGATGTGACTGGTGTCATGGTTGAATGCTTATCATGCCAGAGATTCAATTTGTGCTTGATGTTTTCAAGTTTGGAAGCCCTTTCACCACCGCGTAGAGCATTGCCAGCTGAACACGCTTGACCGATGAGTACACACTATGCCACCTGCTCTTTCAATAGACGTGTACCATTCTGTAGGGTGTGAGACTAGAGTATCTAGAGCGAGAAAAAAGTCTGAGTCAGATAATTTCTGGGAGAAAACAAATGGCGAAAAAAATGCCATAGTCGATTTCATACAATGCATTAGGACGACCAGTAGTGAAGGAGGAATAACGCTCGACCACAGAGCAGCAAAAGAAACCGTTCATCATGGATTTGTTATTATTCATTGAAGCTGAAACGAACTTGATGTGGTTCCATGTTCCGATGTAGTCCTAAAACTATGAGAAACAAATCGGAAGTTTCATTAAGGACAAGTTAAGGGTATAAATGAATAAATGATGCTAAAGAAGCTTGCTTACCAATAGCAACGCTCGTGGCCATTCCACTATAGACCCAACCATCAGCACCTTCTGGATTAACGATTCCCGTCAATGCTATAAAGATTGACCCCTGAGCGATGTCGAGATTGCTGCAGTCAAAATGTTCCGCTGGATAGCCTTGTGCTCATGTCAGACATGCCAGTTGAAACAACCTAACATCAGCCATGCCAAATTCTGCCAGTGATGTTATATTCTTCGCTGCGTGACCCATTATGGATTCGAGAAAGAAGTTGGAAGTAGAAGATTATTGTTCGTCCTTGAATTGTTTCTCAAAGTCGGCTTGGCATATTATCGCAGCAAAAACGGGGTGCCTTGGATGTATGCCTGGTTCGCAGGCAGCCCTTCAGTTCTTGGCACTAGCATAGCAGCGACGACTACATAGGTGCCTAATATTACAGCAATATGCGAAGGAGTAGGATGTTCATGTCGTCTCCTCAACACTATAACAGCGACACAGAGTACGAGTCCATGCCATAGTGCTAAAAGCTTCCAACCTAATAGACATGCAATATTTAAGAGTCACTAAATCATTAGCGTCTTGTTGTTAACTTCCATGTTCACTCTCCAGATGTGGAAGCGATCGCTCATATCAAACAAGCACTAAGAGCATTAAGTACATACGAAACGAAATAATTTGAGCATCATGAATAGCTTTCATTAGCACCATCAGCTGCAAAATAACGTTCAGAGCCGCAGTCTTGAGTGCCAGGGAAGATAGTCCGATTAACTGAAGAAGGAGCTGCTACTGTTTTTTGCTGAAGGTGGTGACTCTTGCAAGCGTACTGGCGTAGATACTGACGCTGTAGTAGATTCTTTCTCATGGAGCTCCTTATTTTCCATTCTTTCAGCATTGCCACTCAGTTGTCTTGTTGGAAAACAGGTGAAAGATTCGGCGACTACGTTTCGGACCAGGTTGTTGAAACCCTTCTACTAGGTGCACAATATTGATCAGAAGCCTAATATATAGTCAATTTCAAGCCCTGCATCGCGTCCGATAAGTCCAGCTGTCAAGAGCACGCAAGTGCTTTTCGTTGCTGGAGTGAGCAGTATGGTAGGGGGACATAGCTGCACATAATGGCATCAAATACACAATAACACTCTATCCTTGACATCCTCTTGCCTCTGAGCATGGCATCCAATTTCGACTTTTGCGTCTCTAAGAATTCGTTCCGAAATTGATTTACCAGACCTCAATAGCAAACGCGACGTTAGGGTCGAACCTGAACTATTTATTCCTTGTCGACAAATGTTCATGCCTAGGCACGCTGACGAGTCTTTCTCTGGTGTTCCGCAAATCAAATTCGGCTTGTATGTTAGATGGTCAAAGGCCTGATTGTTGAATATTCAGGAGACTGCTATGCAAATAGATCAGTTGCAAACGACTAATATTTGATTTGTAAAGCACTTCAAGTCCTCTACATACTACCTGAGCTCATACTTTTGCCACCTTTGCCAGTGCAAACAAGATGATACGTGCTGCTTCACCATCTCTGCTCAAGAGACGCATCCAAACAGATGGCCCGAGGCGCCATAGATCCGTGTCTTATTCTCCTTCTGCTGGCGTGGTGGACATCAAATTGGATGGAATAGACGTGTTCAGATTCAATTCCAAGAATCCAGTACTAAAAGATATAAGATGGACGATTTCAGCTGGCCAAACATGGGCCGTCATTGGTCCTGTAGGCTCTGGCAGATCAACTTTGGGAGAAGTTAGTGGGTTTTCTTGAACATTCATCATAATTGTGTGAGTTGTCGGAATCTGAAATCGATTTCTCAACCTATAGACCCTAGCTGGCAGGCACAGAATAGAACCATTCGAAAACGGTTCTTGGGAATTTATAAAACGCCTACAGTCCCAACAAACACTACCAGTCGACTCATTCGGTAGACCATTGTCGCTCTGGACTGGCGATTTGATTAAATGTGTGTCATTCAAGGAGGAATCGGCATGGGATTACTCTAGAGGCTACTACCAGCAACGATATAACTGGATTGATTACTGGGAAGACACCTCGCTGGAGGGGTACCTGAAAAGCGGGCTGGAAGATTTAGCGTCTCTGGCTGATGAAGCTAGTTTGAATTCAAAGGAACGTAGAGCAGCAACAATTGACAAATCAGTAAAAGAAGTCGCTCGACAATTCGATTTGGAAAAGCTGTTGACTCAGAGCTTTTCAATACTGTCTAATGGACAGACGAGAAGGTCGAGGATTGCCAGGGCGTTGCTGATGAAACCTCAGATGATAATACTGGATGAGCCATTTAGTAAGCTCTGTGCATTTGTGTGGATGTATTCCAAGACGCTGACGCTCAATACTTTAGTGGGACTGGATCCATCACAACGAACCAAAATCTCAGACCATCTAGGCCACGTCCTTTCCGAAGGGTATACTAGAATGCTGCTCCTACTACGACCTCAAGATATAGTTCCATCCTGGGTTACGCATGCAATGTATCTATCGAAATCAGGAGTTATAGAGTATGCAGGACCAAAAGATCCCAATCGTATACATTCTAGTCAGGACAGCGATGAAGAAACTAGATGGTCGAGACCTGTAAAGAAAGTAGATGGTCCGGTTGTAGTAGGATTGGACAAGGTTAATGTCGCCTATGATGATCGAAAGGTTTTGATAAATGTGGATTGGGATGTCAGGCAGGGAGAACGATGGGCGTTGCTTGGCAAGAACGGTATGTTTTCATCTCTCTTTTGCACAACAACAATCTCATATTAAATTGTCCCATATGCTATCAGGCTCTGGAAAATCAACTCTCCTAGCGCTCCTCCTTGGTGACCATCCACAATCCTACTCCAACGCGATAACCCTCTTTGGCTCACCCCGCGGATCAGGCGAATCAATATGGGACATTAAAGCCAAAATTGGATACGTGTCTCCTGAACTTCACATGTACTTCCCGACATCTTTGACATGCTTTGAAGTTGTGCAGACGGGCTTTTCAGATGTGCTTTATGCTAAAGAAACGACGCCCGAGCAAGATGCGGCTGTGATTGACATGTTTAAAGAGCTGCGTGTTGATGAAGGGTTGTGGAAGAAGAGCTTTAGGAGTGTGTCGAGTGGTGAGCAACGGCTTGTGTTGTTGTGTAGAGCGTTGATCAAGAAGCCGACGTTACTTGTGTTGGATGAACCGTTTCAGGTACGATATCTGCTTTCAATCTTATTGAAGCGCTTCGAACTAATCTGTTCTTTTCTTGGTTGACAAGGGTCTTGATGACGACCAAGTCGCTCGATGCAGGCAATATCTAGATACGGAACTCAGGCCCGATCAAACAGCCATCCTCGTAACACACCACGATGATGAAATACCAAACACGTTCGGTAGAATGCTCAGATTAGAACAAGGACGAGTTTCAGAATGCATATAGAAAACTCGTTACAAGCGGATACCAAGCATACGTCACACAATTTGTATTGACTAACTCACTCGCACAACAAATAAGATTAATATAAACTATAAGCGTTGAAACTGTTTTTCATTGACTAGTATCTTCTAAACGGACTAGCCAAATTCTCCTTGATTTGATACGCATCTTGTGCCAACATGAATTTCATTGATTGGATCTTCCTATTCATGGGCGATGCTGATCGTGTTTGGCCATTCGCACCATAGACTCCTGATACTGGTCGAGATGATGCAGTAGATGTAGACAGAGTTGACACACGATGATTTGGAGTCTGTGGTGGCAGTTTACGAATTTGCGCCTATGCCAAAGAAACATATCAATACCCCAGCACGCTGTCGACCACAGATTTCTGAACTCACTTTGCCTGCCTGCGGATAACCATTCCTGGAATCACGATCTCTCGACCTCCTACCAACCGGAATATCCGCATTATCCAGCTCTCCAGAATACACGTCAGGCGCATACTGTGTTGCAGGCTGTCGAGCTTCAGGGTGTGCGTACACGTCATCGTACAGACGTCGTGCTCGTCGGTTGATACCCTTTTGTTGGAAGGCGTACCAGTCGAACTGGTCTGCTCCATTACCAGTAGCCAATGTGTGAGGGCGTGGGCGTTCGAGGGATTTGCTGCGTTGAGCTTCGTTTTCAAAGCTGTTGTTGCGGGTAGTGGTGCGATCTAATGATGTGTGTTGGGTTTGGATTTCGGAGACCTGAATGGAGGAGAAAAAAACATAGTGTAACTAAAATCTGGATGGTGAATGAATTTTTTAAACACTCATACCATCTTTCGAGTATCTTCAACTTGCTGCTCAGTTGACTTTCTGCCTTGTACAGAGTTACGAAATCCATTCGCCGTACTAACCGATTCCACAATTCCTTTCATAGTATTCTTTTCAGATGGTTGCTTCACAAAAAAAATCGAAAGGTTAGGGGTGTCATCATCTAAGAACAAACAAAAGAACTCACTCTTGTCAAAGGGATAGCAGCATCAGCAGCAACCTGCGCATCCCTTCTAGCCTTCTCCTCCTCTCTAACGCGCCTTCTCTCTCTCCTCCTTGCAGCACGCTCAGCATCGTCCTTGTCCATCACAGCTTTAACAAGATCAGAAACTCCAGCAACCTCCTGTCCGAAATTATTCACAAACGAGTTTCGAGATGCGTCTGATGAGAATGATGGGCGATGTTTATCCTTATTGGCATTAAATGAAGCGTATTCGGATGGATCGTAACGTGGTAGATCGAGTGACATTGTTTTCCGTGTTTCTTCAGTGAATTGCGGCCATGATGGAGCGGCATCGCCAGGTGTTGGTGGGAGGATTGATTGGCGACGAATTTCAGCGGATACACGGAGGGCTTGTTCGTATTGCATGCGGGCTTGGCGGGGTGGCTGCAAAAAAGCAGTGCAAATGTGAGCTGAATACAAGTACCGTTGTGAAGAGTATAAACCACTTACTGGAATAGGCAGAAACTCATCGCCAATGGCAATAGATGGAATCGGTTTCTTACCGTCCACATGTTCATCTTCAAAAGACACATTGTACAAAGAATCAGAGCCTGTATGCTTGTCGTTGTTGACTGGAGATTTGGAATTATTATATCTTGGATCAGCAGCTAGTTGAGTTGTAGCCGCATAAGCCAAGAGACGTTGATCGGCTAATACAAATGGCTGAAAAAAAGAACAACATGAGGCTATAATGCATCTTGGTAACGTGAATGAAACAAATCATGACTAGTAAACTCACAGGAGCATAACGGAAACCTCTTCCAGCATAAAAATCAGCACTAGCCTTTTTCGTCTCGAGTGCTGCTCTACCCATTGGCAACATTGGCAAAACGTCTTGAGTTGATTTCATCATAAGACCAGCATCTCGTTGCATCAATGACGGACGAGTCATAACTGGTCCTTCGATGGGTTTACGAGTTCGATATTTGTCGTCTTCCTTATTTGGTACGACAGGTACTGAGTTCAGTCGTTCCTGTTTAGGCACAAAGTTCATGTTGGATGCGACATGCGTGGTGGGGATTGTTGCTAGTTTAGGTTCTGGTGTGTTTAAGATGACTTCTCGAGGTGCTTCGACGTTCTTTGAGGCAAATACTTCCACAACATCTGTTTTGGCTACTGGGACTATATCCTCCGTTCTCACAATGACTTCCGGAGATTCATCCTTCTTGGCTATAGCAGCAATGGCCTCTTCTCGTTGAACAGCTACTATCTCCTTTTGTAGTATAGAAGTGAGTGGTATTGGTGGTTGAACCTTATCCTCCGACACAGTGAAATTCGGCAACCTAATACCTCTCGGCAGCGATGGCATTATAGTGGTCGAAGCATTTTTAGCACGTCTAGAATCATCCAAAGACAATCTAGGTGCTGCCATGACAGATACAGTTTTAACATACTCTGGCCGTGAATTCATTAGTGGGATTGTTGGCAATGCTTTATGAATGTCCATTGATGTACGAGATGTTGATGCTTCTGATGGCTTGGGAGAGCTGACTCTAACCGATGAGCCAGATACAGGTTTCGGTACTTCTGGTAGAGAGTGGTTGCGAGATGGTGGCTCCCAACTATCGGCTCTGTTTAGTGGCGGCAAGTTTCCTACAAGTATAGATTCTACAAGATGTTTCTCTGTGGCTTGAGGAAGAGGCTCGAAATGCACGGTGGTAGCAATCACAGATACAGGCGGCTGTGGCACTGTATCAACTTCTTTCAATAAATCAGCGGTGGAGCTCACTTCGGCCTCGACTATTAGTGATTTCAAAGCATCTTCTTTCTGCAATTCGAACGACTTGGCATCTTCAACTGGGCCCGCAGCAACTACTGGCCTCAATGGAATGGTGACAATACTACTAGTGCTGTGTGTCAAGCCATCCTTGTTTGCTTGAATTGGTGCTGTAAATTCAGGCAATGATTCGGATACGGGAGCTGGTAGCGATTGCACTGGCTCAGCAGCCTTCTCAAACTGATAGCTGTAAGACCATGAGTTTTGAAGAGTCTCTGCAAGGACGGGCTACAAACCAATCCAGGATTAGCAACATGTAGTCGTGAGATTTTGAAGGTCTTAAACACGACATACCGCATCTCTATCAGACATCTTTGCCACAGGCTCAACAAAAGTAGGTGGAGATGGTTGCTGCGAGTATATCTATGGTTGACAAAATGGTCAGTTCATACTTCCACCACACCACTTTCAAACTCACCATGTTTTCCCAATGGCGAAGTTCTGGCGCTATCTCTCTGGTATTATTGACCACTTCACGCTTCATAGTCTCACGTTTCTGAGTCCAATAAAAGAGTGGTTTGGGAGGTGGCAATGGTCTACGATTTTGCATGACATATGTTGGGTTTTGAATAAGTGGGCGAGTTCTTTTGGGTAGATCTTTGGCGTACACTCGACTACGTGGTGCCATAGAATCCACTGATTGATTGGATGTGGCTGCAGGTGGTGTGGCTGAAGGTGGCGTGGCTGCAACTACCGAGTTTGCTTTATGCTGTAATGGCATAGATGCTTCCAAGTGCTTATCAGTGCCCAGTACCAATACTATCGGACTTAGCGAATCTCCTCTGGGTGGTGAAGTAGAGTTTAGAGCAACTGGAGCTGGTATCCTTAAACGAGGAAGAATAACTGGGTCGGGCTGAATGGAAGAGAAGCTAGCTACAGATGCCATATATCGCAGTTCATGGTGAGCACCCTCATTATCTTCATGAAGAGAGGGCGACCGATGGAAAGACTTGGGCATGGACTTTACAAACGAAGCAGCTTCCGACTGTTCAGCTAAAGTCTGCGAATCCAGATTGTGCACATCATCAGTGACAGCTACTAATCTACGAGGCAGTTCAGCCTTCCCAAATCCAGACTCCTCACTATCACTTTCAGTTATTGAGGCAATCGAAGACCAAGCTTCTCCTTCGTCACCAATACTGGATCCAGGTTGTGGGGAAGATGACTGACTAGAAGCGTACGCGTGCTGTAGATCAGCCACTTTTACGTCGTCAGATACACCCTCCATAGGTAGCGACCTGTTCCAGAGTGCGAATTCTGAAGCCGTGCCGAAATGTTCCACTGAGGGCTTAGCAGAAAATCCAGCAGGTCGAGCTTTGATTGTTGTTGTAGATACATCACTGCATTCGCTTGAAGAAGAATCTATAGCAGAGACCATACTGATAGAAGAATCCGTGATTGGAGTTACTGGTGGTGGCAGTGGATCGGACGTCATCGAGACGGCACTGTCGGGACGTATTTCAGTATATGGGGCTGGGATATCAATGCCTAGACTGGATTCAAGTCCCTTGGACTGTTCTACCACGGCAGACATTGCTACTACTACTGCTGGTTGTTGCTCGACCACAGGTTCGGAGGAGGCAACCTGTATAAGCTCAATATGTTTTTGCTGCTCCTGCATCTTTTTACTCACAGAATACAGCCCCTTAACAATCAATACAGGCTTCTTCTCTCGGGGTACTGTGGGCTTATTATTATCGGTGGACGATCTTGCACGGTCAGCGCTAAACGACGACAATCGTTCCTTTCCGGCAAGTTCCTTTAGTTTATCAACCCAATCAGCTGCATTGGCTGCCGACGATGCTTGGAATAGGTATTTGGCTCCTCCAGCGAGAGTTCCAGCTTTGATATAAAAGCGTTCCGGGTTTGCAGCAGAGAGCCAACAATCCATTACGCTGCAGTGGCGTAGATCTATTGCTCCCAGCGCAATGTCGCTACCTGTACCCCATCCACACTTGTACTTTACTAGTAATCTGTCTGCACGAAGCCTATACAAAGTGAGATTAGAGCTGAATCCCAATTCAATCACATGTATGCAAACACTGTAGTCAAGATGTTTTTATAGCTTACCTGTAGAAGCAAGGCGGTTTGGAAGTTTGAAATAAACCTCGTTTGTCCGTTAGATAGCCTTCAAACAGGACATGTGGTTGTAGAGACAATGTAGCGTCTGCCGAAGACATCTTTGTACGTGGAAAAGGGTGTATCGATCGCACCTCGGCAAGGCCACGGTCAGAATCTAAACTATAATGAGGATCCAAGGAGTCTCTCGCTGTCTCTACTAACTCTCCAGGTTCCGAGATCAAGGGGTGTTTTGTTGGTGGTTGTGATTCTTCTTTCCTTCGACCATGGTCGCCGAAGAATGTAAAAGTGAGAGCATTTCACGCTCACAGTACGTGTATTATTTAAGTGACAATAAAGAGCTTGCAAAGACGCGTCCCTATGATGAACTTTTTGCTCATAGGTTTGGGTTGTCAATGTGAAAAACAACAAGACTTCAAAATCTGCTAAAACTGTTAAGATGGTGTCTGAACAAACCTCGACTGACATTAGAAGTGCTGCTATACCAGCCAAGAGCTACCAGCAATCTGGCCCAAGTACACATTGGAACGACCTGCCACCAGACCTCTTTCTATCACATAAAAAGCAGAAATCTGTACAGCCTACCAATGACGATGAGAAAGTCGAGCCCTCGAGGGTAGCTTCGTTATGTCAAATGGCAATGCGTGTATGCAAAGCTTCCATGTCTGATGTGAGTTGCCGATGAAACATTTCAACATTTTGGAAAAGTTGCGTAATGTTCTCTAAGACTCCTTTTTCGCCACTAGAACGCGCAGATGCGTATGCTGGCGGATACAGAAAAGAGGCTAGACGTGCTATATGAACGACTTGACAAGTTGGATGAAGTGACACTGGATCGAGTGTGTAGAATATGTTATGGTGAGCTACAAGGTCGTCAGGCATAAAATCAGACAGTTTCATCTCTACCGTGTCTGCATTCTCCACATATTCTCCGATAACTCTGACGTCAAAATCTCATTGTCTCTACTTGGATCTAACCACTCTTCTTGCATTCACAGCATTCGAAACCCATTCATGTTTGCTCGCAGCACAACAGCTCGCAGTGACGCTAGTAGCCTCTTCCATGGCAAATGAAGGTCGATGGGTAGTGGGATTCAAACGCTTGGTGGATTCGTACAAATTAGTCGTCGAGACACAGTCTACCTCACAATCGACACCTTCAAGCTAGAAAGAACCTCGACATCTTGTTTAAACCAAACTCATATCTAGAGCACACACATATTATACGAATACCATGTCGCATCTCCTATTTAATATTGGGAGATTTCCGTGGTTGTCAGGTGTTATTTTCGACACTAGGACTACAATCCAGGCGGTCTACTGCTTTGGAATCAAGGTATTGGAGAGCCTCCTCGACAGATATATCGGCAGATGATTCCACATTCCAGCTCAAAATATTCTCGTCAAGCTCGGAGCTAGTTCTGATGGAAGATTACGTTTTGACAGTTTATCTACTGGTCTGAGCTGATAACCAATGTGTCGAGCAATTTGTCTCACAAAACGTGGGTGTAAGTGGGCTTGTAAGTAATTTTTTGGAGAGTCTGCTTGGATATCGTCAAGTCGGGCTAGGGATGCCATTGAATGTCGTGAACGAATACGTACCGTCTTTCGATTGGGACAAGTCAGAGCAGTACTACTGACACTGTGCGCAACTGCGAAGTTTCAGTGTCTTAAGGACCCCTTTCATCCCGTTGTGCGTTGTTCAGCGTCCATGTCGAATAAATAAAACATCACACTCTAGAGCGCACGAAATCACGATCAAAAAGTGTCAAAAATGCAGACCCTATCAATGCGTAGACTCCGCACACGACTTTTGTGGTTCTGACTTTTGTGGTAATCAAGTTGTTTACTTTTCATGGCTTGACGCGAAAAAAACGACATGAGAAACTAGGGTTTACATTTTTGCACTATTAAAATCTGCGAAAAATAGCTAGTTTCTGTATTCGATTCTCTTGTTCAGAGGGCGATCGGTTAAAGGACTCGTTTTGTTTTCCAATCGATTTTTGATTTGCTTGAACATTGTGGAGTGTGGCTGCCGTTTGTTACGGAGTAAGATCAGGCATAACTTTCGAGCAGGAGTTTGTAGATTTTTTTATGTTGAGAATAGGCTAAACACGGTCAATTGCTTTTTCTTACGGGCACAACACTGAGATTTGGGACGCACATTGACGTTTAGACCCTCAAGACGATCAACACCAAGCGTGGTGGTAATCAGCGTCGACCAATCTAGGAAGTTCTAAACGACTTACATGGGGTCCTTTATATATGTAAGTAAGGCGTGCAATGTTTTGTCTGACCTCAATCTTATCAACCTTTTGTTGGTCCTTTGCACTAAATACAAATAGGGAGTGGCGTGGTTGTTTTCACCGTATTTAAACACATTATATACAGGTCTACTAGTAGTGACATTGCGAATGATGAAGATAGTGTTTGGAAGTCAGCAGTAGTGCAACCGCTCTGTCCCTTCTGCTTTCTTCTATTGTAGTGAGATTTCCAGCAGCGAGAGCACTAAGATATTCTGACATTAACAATTCTAAATCATACGATTTAGCTTCTGGACTCCCCACAAACGATTTCATACTAAAAGTGCAAGGTTCTGCCACGTTTGTCCTCCAACTTGTCACAGCTCTGATATCCTTAAAATCAGTAAGCCCTACACCAACAATGACATATGGGTTTCCATTCATTGCTGCAGCCCATTGGCCAAAACTAGACGCAAATGTTGTAATCACAACATTGCTGATTGCCAGAGCAATGAAATCTAGCGCACCGTCTTCTGTAGTACCACCTGGATTTCCAACAGCATTTTCCATACTGAAATTGATTGGCAGATACGTTGCTCGGCCGCCTAGCCATGTACTTAGCTCGCCTCTCTTACTCTCGTCGTCTGTAGCAAGATGGAAGCCAACATCAATTGGAGCGACATCAGATACAGCAGCAAGCTCTAGTGCTACCAAGGAGTATGTTCTCATTGGTGCTATGCTTTGTACTTTATGAGCTCTGACATGGATTCCAACCATATATGGTCGGAAATTGGAGGCTTCATGGGTGGATAGTATTTGCTGGAGCTTTGAGTTGAGGTTTACGACTTTTCTTAGTACATGGTAAGCCACTCGACCGTCTGGAAAGATTTCGTCGAGTTTTTGACGATACGAAGGATTGGCTTGCCAAAACGGGATATAGTAATCGATGCCGTGCATAGTCCACGTTCTAACACCACCACGCTGAAAATTAACAAATCAATCAGAGCGTATAAAATGAAGTGAAGGATTAATTTTGAATCTGTTGAGTATTAGTTTCGACTCTGTTTACCTCAGGAGCATCGTAGTAAGCCGATAGATTTTCCGTCGTCGAAATAGCAAAGGTATCCTTTTCGGTTTCATGTATTATCCTGACAGTATCCGTAGGTCGTGCTCGGTTGCCTATTTCAAAGTCGAGACTAAACTTCCAGACCGAAGACATGACGTCGGGCAGTTCCTATACCCACCAGAGAGAGTAAGCTTTGCATCGTTTTGAGAACAGAAAGCAGGAGTTTTGTGAAAACTTACGAGGAAGAGTGTTCGATTGGTAAGAAGCGACAACACAAATCCATTCACCAGATTTGGAAACCGGTTGCCAAGACCAAACTCTCCTGGGATTGTCGCGATTATATAGCGTCCATCGGTTGTGTTGCTGTTCCTTAGAGCCAGTTCATGACGGTTCTAAGAATAAAGCATGAGTCAAAAAGCATAGCATGAGTTAACTGCACAGCTTGCCTTGTATTCGTCAAACACCTCGTCAAAGATGTGGTGACCTCTTCCTTGCATCTCGAGATGCATTTCATCATTGCTGGATTGCGAGGGTTTTAAAGTCAGACCCTCTTCATATGTCCAATTATAATTAGCATATGATATGATAACGATCATGAAGACCAGGGAAGCCCTTAACCGAAAGCGTCCAGAATCGACATCATTTCCGAAAACGAGCAAACTCATTTGCAGCTTCGGCACTTCCTTGAATCTCTTTTGGCCTCCGATAAGACTTATTTACAGAAGAAAAGCTAGCCAGAAGAATCGGAGGGCTTTCATTTGCTCCAAATTTGGATGGCCGTCAAAAATGAGAGGTTGTGGACAGATCACGGAGTCACGGAAACTAGACCGAAGGCACAGGGAGAATTTTCCTATACAAGCGTAAAGATTTAGTTGCATACTACGGATTTAGTGAGAACTTCGAAAACTAAAAAGTAATTTAAAAAGCTACTCCTCCCAGTTCTGCTGTGCGGTTGGATACTCCGGTTTTCTCTTCTGAGTCGACCACTGGCAGCTTACTACAGCTTGATTAACCAGTACCTTACATCTCTCACATATCTGTGCTCCGTTATTGAACTCTTTTGTTCTGTTCTGCTCCAAAACGTCCAATGAATTTTCGTACTAAGGCGCCTTTTTGTTTTGAAACGCACACCACACAAAAACACATTCTTACTTCACTACATATCAAGCGAGTATATTTTGCTGAGACGGTTGAGAGAAGTACATAAAGGCTTCATCATCTTTTTATGATTTGGAAACTGGTGGAATACATTGCCCAAGGAATGCCCAGACTAGTGGAGGGTTAAAGGGCTAACTGCGGACTTGGGGAGTGCGTAGTGGCTACCGATCTAGATTTGTCATGGTACAAAGCTATCCAAGGTGTATCTGCATTTCTTGTGAATTTATGGGCAGATGAACTAGTACCTGTGTCGCATGCTGCCGGATATATGAGCCATTCGCAGCTCTCCTTATAATCATTAACAGTTTTCCTGGCTCGTTTATAGAGCTGTTAACCAGTACTGCCAATTCTCCTTCTCTTAACGGCCTGTGTAATACGACAGGCACGATACCTCCAACCGCAGACATCTTGCACAAAACCTTGTCGTTTACTATCACTTCACTGGTTATGCCGGCCGCATTATGTAGCTGCTGAACTTGTACGATGCTTCTGACGTTGGCGGAAAATCCGTCACCGGTTGTGGCCGAGGCGATAATTGGAGAGTAGCCTGTTCCTGTCAGATCCTCAATCCACTTTGCAGCATGCCACTTCTTGGTGACATTGAACAGCTCTTGGGCATCTTTAATACCGTTTATGCTCTTGTACCACCGCCTAATGTCTTGCTCTGGGACGATTTTGAACAAGGCCGAGGTAAACGAGAATACGCTCTTTCCTTGGTTCACAACCTCATATTCTGGCAGCAAGGTAACGGGGTAACATTTCAGTGAAATCCCGTAATCCTGTCTCGTGATGGAAAGGGTGCCCACCATGTTGCGAGAATACCAACCGGTTTCCGTTTGACCGGCCACCCAACAAAATCCGTAAGCTCCACAAGTTGGGCCAGGAACAATAAACATTTTATCTATATCACCACTTGATTCCAATCTATCAGCTAATGCTTTGAGAAGCATCTCGTAGGACCATGACGTGTCAAAATTACGTAAATCGAGTACGGCAGAAATGGCGATAACTCGATCATGAATGACGGATACATTGCGCAAGCTGGCTTCCGCGAGCAAATCTCGAATCCAGTGTTCGCTACCCCGATTTCGCAGTTTATAAAGTCGGTGAATAGCAGACACAGCTTGCGATATGTTTTCTTTAACGTCTGGTGGCCGAATGTCTAAAGTAACTTCATCATTCGAGGACCAGTCGACAAAGATCGATATAACATCACAGATACCAGATTCTCCTCCCACCTCACCGTAGAGTCGGTGCATAGACCTGCAGGAACTGCAATACCCCTGAATTTGAGACGCCAAAATTCCTTCTTGCAGCGTCCACAGTCTGGTCCACCACTTGGAGTTATACAGTTGTTTTGCAAGTTTTACCAGGGCGATCGTTGCCTGCCTGCCCACAACTTTAGATACTTTGTCCCTGCAATTTAAGTAAGCTGCATAAAGCAACTTGTAGTTGCCAATCGGGCACTCTTGAAATATTGCTGGCACCAAGACAGTCTCAGCGTCAGCATAAACCTGAGCCATCATTCTTAGACGCTTAGTGACTTCTTCATTAGACATTGTATACAATGGCATAGCGCAAAAGTCCGTCCAAACTAGTCTTATGCGATACCTCCTAAGTGTTGCATCCATAAGTTCCCGTAAATATGCATCTTTAGCCCATTCAGGTCTTGGACTATCTCCAAACAATTTGCTTCTCCAATCAGGGTTGGTGCCCCAAACATGACTTAAAGCAACGTACGATCGAGGAACCATTTTGATGTTGCTCTCAGTTGAGCCGTCACTTCCACACAAGACCGTCCAATCCATGAATATTTTTTGACGTTCCCCGCAGCAGCTACGGCCTATGGCACAAAACGAAGGCCTTTATGGCACAAAATTTAGGCCTTATGGAGCAGAGTCTAGGCCTTATGGCACTATTCGGGATGCTGCTCGTAAGTTTGAAATCCGGTGACACCTGTTTCTAAAGCAAAATGAATACAAGGGAGAACACAAGTGAACGAGGGAACGATTACTACTCATCCAACTTGACTGCTCGATTTACCACGTTGTAATAGCACTATCGTGAACTACAGTAAGTTTCCCTCTTGTTCGCTGTAGAAACAAGACGAGAACACGAGCCAATGAGACCTCGTTCGCAAAGCCATCTTGAATGATTTGCCTATTTTTTATTAAAGAAAGTACAAATACGAATCACTACAGTCTACAGTACTACAGCAACTCTCAAAACGCGTCCCCCTCTCTCATACGAGCTGTTAGCTGCAGCCCAACACTCTTCACAGTAGCGAGCCCAATCCGGCGAAAAACAGCTTTTTGGGCCCGCTTACTACGACTATTTACCATATGCTTCCACGGCACTGCTTACGTGCCACCGCTTGATCGGTTTAAATTCGAAGTCCTCACTCATCTCTCTGGACTTTTTCCAAGCACTCAGAGGACTGCCATCTCTAGTGAGATACGAAGTGATGATCAGCACGGCTATGCAAATGATCAGAGATTGCCGAAATCAAGACATCACAGCTGAACAACTCTGGAGCCTTTTTTCATCTCGCCTCTTCACGCGCATGTTGTCAGCAAAACACCTCATCGTCAACTCTGTAGCACACTGGCAAGGACTGTTTCGGCTGACGGACGGATTTTTGGAGTGGTCCATAGATCTAACAAGCATCACATAGTCGCGCTTTATTTCGACGTGTATTACTACGTTTAAATGCTAAATTGATAACATCATATCTGTAATTCGTATACTTTAAATCTGTCCCACGGTTTCTCCTGAAGGAGTTTGGAGTTGGGGGGTTGGTTTTAAATGTTTATTAGATAACTCCTTCAGGAGTTATCTGCAAATAAATAACTGCAAATAAAAATCGAGTTAATCACCTATGGGTCTCCGCAAGCAGGTCGGTGTGCATTTTCAACCTTTGCGCCTGCGTCTCTATTCTTAACGCCTTCCTGCCTTGCCTTTGCCTAGGAAACAGTGCCCGGGCAAACTGGGCAAGTTCGATTCTCGCAAACAAGTCTTGCAGAGTTGTAAATCATGGAGAACTAGGTAAGCTTGCGTCGGCACTCCCTTTGAATTGCTATGTGCGAGTTGAAGTAGAACTCTTCGGTTTCAGTCACTAGAACGCTTTCCCAAGAAGGAGACTGAAGGCATGAGACTGAAGATTATTATGTCGAGAAATAATATATAAAACATCCTGTGGTATTAAGATGCCCGCCTTCTAATGGAACCACCGAGAGTACGCAATGGAATGACAGTGCCCGTTTTAGGAGTTAAATTTTGCTGCACGTGTCAACTACTTTGATAATCCATATTACGTAAATCGAGAAACACTTTTTCTGTGCTGTTATTGAATCTGACCCATCCTCTCGCTAGTTGCGAATTTTTTAATATACAACATTCCGTCTGGGCAAAATAGAAATCATCCGACATCTTCTCAAGTTTGTCTACTTACTTCGCTGCTCTTCCGACTTTCAATATGACGCAAGAAGCAACGCATCAATTGTTGGATTTAATTTTGTGAAGCCAAATCGCTTTGACCCTACAATCAACTTTTGGCTGAAGTGAAACGTATCTTTGTGGAGCGTTTAGGGTTGCATAGATTTGTCTTGTTGCTCTTCTGAAAACAATCCCGAAAATATTCAGTTGGATGGTCAAACAATTCTTGGTAAAATGGCGTTTGCAGGTCTGATGGGTAGCCTTTAATTTTTCCCCACTACTTTAGGAAGGAGATAAACCTCTTCCGTCAGAGACAGTTCTTGCTGCTCTGCGACCTTTATTTACGCTTGAGGAGCTCAATTCTTCGCCAACTTCAGCTCAAGTCCAGCAACCTTTGCTTCACGTCGTAGGGTGGTCACAATCATTGGACGTCATGATTCAAAAACCACATTTCGAAGGCTCTAATTGCTTTTCTTAATATATATTATCACCTGTTACTAGTTGAAGAGGCATCCTTTGACTCTCGTCGTATAAAGACGTTTCTAGACGAAAAACGAACTCGAACATCTAATACCCTCAAAATCAGCACCAAGGACAGAATGAACGTCTTAAGCATGAAGATGGAGCATCATCGTATCCTAGCCGAGATCTATCATACTGCGGCTTTGAAGAAGCAAGATGACGCTGGGGTTGACGTTTTTGATGGTACTGGATCTAGTGGAATTGGTAGTCAAACCGCTCCACGATTGGCTCTAGTAGAACAGGTCACAATAGTTGACCTACTGCGGGATTCCCAACCTCTTGGTACAGAAGCATATCAAGCCATGGACGCACAATTGAAGCGGGTCGACACTCCAATGCTGTTCCATGAAATGGGTTGTGAGTACTTACACATGGGTCTGAGTTTGCCGATAAATCTAATTCGAGCCACCACAGCACTATACTGAACTAAAACATGCCATTGAACTATGCAATTTACATCTGAACTGTGCAATTTACAACTGGAAATAAACCTTCATCTCAATTTAAACTATATTGCGTGCATTACAGCACGATTCATTGCAAACATATAAAGCTACTAAGGCCTGTTTTACTCATCGTCGAGAGTTCGACGGAAATACAATGTTAAAACTGCATTGTTAATGTGATACTACTTTCACATATAGGCTGGTTTGCAAATACTTACAAACTTGTCCTCATTCAGAAAATCATTTCTGCAAAACATCATTTATAGTGAGACTTACAGTCCACTCAAAAACATCGATCTGTATCAGATCGGCTATCAAAGAAAAATCACTACAAGACAAAAGGGCAAGCACTATAGAAGAGACAGAGCAGCAACCAGGAAACAGGAGACAGATTTTCATTCGGCCATGACCAGGCCACCCATATATACCATCATAGCCTTTGGTCGTCCATTAAGACAGACCAACTCGAGTTCTATGGCTATTTCTTTCTCTGCCGTTAAGGCTGCGATTGACTCTGGATTGACGTTTCGAGGCAAGTACATGGCTACGTGGGGTGTGATTTGTTTGGCCATGGCGTAGAATTTTGTCCTAAACGTGGTAGACAAGGGATGAGCAAAAAAACTGATGATTGAATCAGCATAGTGGCAATGAGGCTTACATGTCCACAGACAAATGTTCTATATCCAAGGTTTCTGCATCCAAATACGCGGGACCTCCCCACGGTGGTGATGTGTATACGACGTCGGCCTACGCGTGGGTCAAAGTTAGTATTGAAATCAAGTAAACAAAGTATTGCATGCCACCATTACCTTGAGGCTTGGTAGGACTTCAAAGGCATCCCCGACAATAAACTCGATCTTGTCGGCAACACCATACACTCGAGCATTGACTTTGGCCATTTCGATCTTGATTGGATCGTGATCGATAGCAATGACTATTGGAATGTAAGACTGCCTGATTGAGCACATGAGAGATGACTATGTTGTGCGCTTTCTTGCATACCTTTCTGACAGAGCATGGCAAACTGAATCGAGTTTCCGCCAACCTAAAGAGTTGGAAGACAATCAGCGACGGATTCGGCATCTTAACTTGCTCAACAATGACCTTACACCACACATAGCATCCACAATAGTCCCGCATTGAGTGCGATTAGCAATATGTCGTGCGACATCTTCGGGTGTTACAGAGTACCAAGATTCTATGTGAGCAGTGTAAGTTTTATTTGAAAGTCTGTTGTTTTTCCAACCGTCAAACATCCCTACCTTCATCAAGCTGAATGCCCTCGTCAAACTTTGAAAAGAGGCTGTACCGCTGATTAAAGTACTTTATCAGATTCTTTGGTATGTTTTGACGAGTCCATGCATTGCCATTCGAAACCATATTTGTCTCTCGAACTTCACCATCTTCCAACAAGATGTCAATGTCATCCGACCGTCCCGAGGCAAATGCATTGGTATCCAATGGTTTCAGATCTCTATTGGATTGATTTGCTCTCCTGCGGGACCTCCTTCTCTTCTTGGAAATGCCGTTTGTGCTGTTTTCGTTTGTTCCAGTTGGAATCAAGCTGCTTGTCGTCATTATAAGAAGGAGTCGAGTTGTACACGGGCAACTAGTTGGACGTATGACTGGCGATGCTATAAGCTAATGCTCTATGGTTCTATCCTATTACTTCTTGGGGGATTGAATATTGAAGAAAAGGAATCAGAAATCGAACGGTGATGACTAGCAGAGTTGGAGATCGCAATTAGGCCGTCGGAATTACGAAACATTGTGACATTCCATCACTTTGGAATGATAATGTTGATGTTCTTGAACTAACTTGGCGTATTTTATTACGATACTAACAACGACCGTTGCCCAAACACTTTTACTTAGGTAGATGTACTTCAAACACGAGAAATTCGTATCAAATTCAGTAATGATAGTGCTCCTTTAAGTGATCGCTGGAGAACAGCGACCTTTGTGGTCACATGTTTTTCAAATGTGCATGTTTTGAAGAGAAAGGAGGCGAAGGCCAAGCTCAAGAGGCAGAGTTAATTGCGTGCTGTGTTGTGATCTTGTCGATATCACTCATCTTCGTATTGTCTCTTAATCTAGAATTACTTGGTGACAAGCGCTGACAAAGTCATGGTTTGAATTGGATCAAACATGCAGTTGTGGATGCATCTACTCGCTTCCATCTGTATTCAATGCGTTGCTGGTATCGGTACCGCTTACTATGAAAGCGTGCCAGTCAAGAAGATTCAAGGAGCCATCAATGGAGGGAGGAACAGACTGGCCAATGTAGGGCTCCTGGTTGATGAACTAACGTACAAAGCTAACCATGCTTCACTTCACTCGAGAATTTGAAAGAAAGACGTCCAGTTTAAAGAAGCTGGTATGCTGAACAGGGTGTTATGTCAACGTGCGATAACTTTTGACCCCTTTTCACTTTGTGGACTTGACCTCAATTTCGATTGATATGCCTTTTCGCTTAGTATCATACTTCAAACGTCAAAGCTGAGGTAACTTGTGGAAGACCGCCTTGTCTTCACTAGAAGAAAGGTGAGGTTTTGACGGTTTGACAGCCATCCACTTTTTAAACATTGTGCCAACTTTACTTAACCCAAACTCCATGTGGAATAGATTTTTACACATTATTCATCACATCAAGGCCGTAAATGAGCTAACTCGAATGAAGCAAGTCCTTGGCTTGCAGGAATACGTTTTGAGGTGGACTGCTGTCTCCTACCGCTATATCACTAAAAGAGGCTCTCCAGTATCTTGAAGCTAAGAAGAGGAATGGCGACAGTATAGTCGCACTGTAGAGAATGAGAAAGGTTAGTCAATTTAACTTTCGTTTGTACGTGTCAACGTCTCGATTCTTGGCACCTAGCCTGTTCAAGCCTCCTAGTTATTTCCCATTTGCATGAAAACTATGTTTTGAATATAAAATAATCTGTTTGAATAAGCGACCGGTTAGAAACATATTCTGTTTGATGTTTGGAATGTGTCAACACAAAATCCTCGAGTGTTCCTGGGTATGGGCATACGACAATATCCGTTTGAAACAAAAAAACATCACTTATATATTATATATGTGGAATAGGCGAAATATCGTGTAAACCATAACCGCGTTGAGCTGCGTTTCGTTCATTTCTTGACAACACTTTTGGCACTGACAGCCAAGACATCCAGTGAAAAGGGGAAAGGGGCAAGCGTCAAGACTTCCATTTCAATCTATTTTCAGTAACAATTGGACTCTTCTAAGAATTCATTCTATCTAGACTTGAGTCCTTTTGTGTGCTTGACCCAGCCTGTCATCAGTCAACACGACAACAAAGCAATCAGATGGAGGTCAATAAATATTTTGTCTGGTTTTGTCTGCTTGCATCCATCCTCCTGAAAGATGTAATTGCAACGAGATACTATGGGAAGATACCCGTTACTGGACTCATTAATGCCGTTGAGACAATCCGACGTACATTGGGAGCTGTAAGCTGTCTTTCACTTGCTTTAGAAGAGCAATAACGAGAATGCACATACATCTGAACTTTTCATCCGTCTCTAGAGACTATGCAACAAAGATTTGACTCTTACACTTGGCGGCTTGAAGAACATCCTATATAGTCGCCACCTTGACGTATCTATGAAATACCGAAATGCTATTGATAGCTTCGATTCGACGACTACCAGGGACACTGTCTTAAATTGGCCAGAACAGGAGCTGGATCTTGAGCCATTCGAGCCAGGAGTTGAATGTGACGCATCAGATCAGCTGCATCTCGACAGGGAACAGAAGATGTACAACGATTTCCTTCAAGCCATGAATACGCAAGCTAGCACCATTCTCAAGGTGACCACTAAGCTTGTCTGTCTTCTCTGCATTTTCGTTACGCAAATAGCTGTTACCTATAGGAAGTGGAGTCCTCAAAGTTTCACTATGACACTCCGTCGTCTGTTACGATTGGAAAAATCTTGGCAGGTGCTTAATCTTTACGCGCTCTTAATGTAGTGACTGCATGTTTCGTTAATACTAACGATCGGTACATTGTCATGACTATCTGGAACAGCTACATACACTCAGCATTCATGGACTTTCTAAGCGTATTTCCGCCAAGCTGAAGAAATCTTCCATGCCATTGGTTACATATCCATCCACTTTTAAGTAAGTCCGAAATTCGAAATGCATTTAAGCCTTCCTTTTGTTCCCCAGCATGTTAATGTTGGGTCAAGCATAGTGCATACCATACACTGGTGGACGCTGCGCTAGAAAAACAGCATCAGCTTTGTGTCGACCTGGGTCAGTCCTCTCGAAACAAGCCTCGCATTGATAATTTGGATGCCCAGATATCCGCTGCTGAGCATCCAGCTGAAGATCCACATCGTACCAACTTACTTGAATGAAACACGACTTTATTTAAACGTGATGATACAGCAACCGATTCAGTTGCATTTGATGGTGACGAAATCAATAACGATGGGCTGCTTGACGATATCGTCGATCGAACACCCAATATAATGGAGTTTGACTTTCATTCACTTGGTGAAGATATAAACAGCACTGATGGGCTTTTACAGGATACACTCAACCCTGTTGTATCGTTTCAAAGACAACCATATGATCAAAAACTCATTGAGTTGGATCTCCCAGGTGTAGAAACAAGCATTCATATTATACAAAACGATAGACTGGATCCAATAATGGAGGTTGTATCAACGCTGCCAGTAGAAACGAGTGACGAAGCTGATGACTTGACTCGACTTGTACATAAAGCAGCTGAAAAAGAAACTTCGATCGAAGGGATATTGCCAGAAATCAACACCATCCTCGACTTATTTCGAACAACTAGATTACAACCCATAGCTGAGGAGGATCCAGCATCTATGGAAAACAGTCAAGCACTGTCTCAGCTAGCTCAGCATCTTATGGAAATTGAGGATACCGAGTCCATTGAAGAGTCGTCGCCAGATTTCGACGCACAGGTCAGCAGGATGACATTTTTGGCCCATCGACTAGACTACAGCCTGGAGCAGGTCTCTTGATTGACGAGTCGTCACCACAGCTCGATAATATAGACTCTTTATCTCTATTGCTTGATGCAGAGGTATTTCCAGGGACCAGCTCACCTAAGGCTATATCAAACGAACAACAATCTTTACTTGAAGCCGCTCCAAAGGGACATCCCTGCATTTCCGATACTTGTAAGAACGTATACGAACAATCATCTCATCCCCGTTATTCACCAGACTCATCGCATCAATCGTATCACGAAGAACATGTTGAGGAGGGTTGGTGGAATTTTGCATTGTCTAACGAGGTTCCAAGTACCATGGACGATTCTGACAGTCAACCAGAACACGATGTCGGTGATAGTATGAACTCAGATCTATCTCCAGTCAGCGTAAACCTCAACGTCGACTATATACCCTCTGAAAATATTGATTTACCTATAGGTCGTCCCGAACAACTTCGTACTATGCACCATAGTACATTTGCTAGTTATGGCTCGTCTGCATCTGATAATCTCGATCCATCTCGATCTCGCGGTGATCCATATCACAATACCGAGGCCAGCTACGGATCTTCTGGTGCAGGGTCCGAGGCAGTATTGGGCAAGAGAACCCGACCTACTTTTGAACGTCTTGACAGTTTTGAGGTCTCGTCGTCAAGGACTGACGTGATGCATAACTCGGTGAATCGAGGGAACCTAAAAGACATCTTGGCTTTTTGTGAATTGATTGTAGGATGCTGTATTGAGGTATAGATAGTAGCTTTTTTATAGACACATTTTTTATCACAGTTTAAGATCACACTTAAGGGCTGCCAAAATCTATAGAAGTTTGTCTATTGGGTCACCGTTGTGTGATCTCTGTTATTCTTCACCAATCCAAACGTAGATGCTTGGGTCTCGAGGACTCTCCGCAATGCCTGTCACTAATACGACAAGGACTTTCGTCCTCCCTATGTCTCTTGCCGTTCCAAATGTCAAACGCACTGGTACTATGCGATGGTTCCAATTCCTTTTGAATCAAACCATATTCAACTGCATCTGATTTCTTGGCAGCGTCAAGTCGCGTCAGCACTGATGTATCAGCATAGTGATAAAGAGACAACTCTTCACGATGACTGTCAATGGTACGAGAGGCGCCTTCTTGTTTGCTATCTCTCTTATACCTGAAACTCTTATACCTGAAGAGATCCAAACCAATATCCCGATTTAATATATCCGTTCTATACATGAAGAGATCCAAACCCATATCCCTGTGTAGTACTCCCGAATCTTCGTCAAGCTCATTATTTTTCATTATTGCCGACTTGATGGCAAGTTCCAGACCATCCTGGCCTGAACTCTTAGCAGCGACAGCAATAACATCATTTTTAGCTGCTAGTGGGCTCACAAAGTCGATAAAATCAGGCGTCTGAGAGCCAGCTTCTACACACTCACAAGAGTCACCTTCTACACATCCAACAGGCATCTTATCAGACGATGTTTGCTCCAACGTGAGATCAGGCAGTTCGGCGTCAGGTTGATTGATCACTGTTTCTATGTCGTTCCAGTTTGAGACATCGTTACGCTGTTCAACTGAAGTGACAT